TAAGGCACCGGATAAGGCATTTAGCTCGGGTAAAACCCTATTGCACCAAACTAGTTCTGACTACGTTCTCGAAAATATTGCCAAACGAGTTAAAACTGTGTGCGAACGGTGTTGAACGTAATAGCAATTGTTTGCGATCTGTTTAAGGACTTCATGGACGGGCTCAGTTTTGAACTAATGTCTATAATACGATCCTAGTTCGTTCATTAACAGTTCCTAATACGTCCAGCTTGTCTGTTCTCTTCCACAGTCAGTTCATATTTAATTCAGATCGGGTACATTTGACATTTCCAGGCAGTCCAAACCTTTCTTACTAGTTCGCAACTTGTTCTAACTAGTTTATAACTTAACCGAACCGTTCAGAGACAGTTCAACTCGTCCACATCTCGTTCTTAGTGCGTTCGAACCCGCTTATATTGTGCGTGTGCAATCCCGTCCTGATGTGATGGGGGCTTCATTTGAATGTCTTGATCTGCCAGGCTTAAAGGATTGAGGTTGAACGGGAATGAGGAATGGCGAGCGCGCTGGGTTTGTATAGTTCCCGAGCTAGGACGGGATTGCACACGCTCTAGGAGCGCGTTCGAACGCATTAAGAACGAGATCAAGACGAGTTGAACTGTCTCTAAACGGGGTGGTCGGGTTAAAAACTAGTGGTGAACTAGTTAGAATGGGTTTGGACGTTTTGAGAACGAGGTGGAACTAGTTAATAATGGAAGAGATGGACGTATTGAGGACTGTTTATGAACAAACTAGGATCGTATTATAGACATTATTTACACAATTTGCCCAGTCAACAACCCGTCTTACTATTTTCTAGAACGGTTCCAGAACGTAGTGAGAACTAGCTTGGTGTGATGGTGGCTTAACGTATGGAACATCATCTTGTTCGAAGCGGTTCCCTAAAATCTCCAGTAGGATAGTGAGCTTTGCATTCAATGAACCTAAAAACGTCTTTCTGTTGAAGATTTGTTGTTGCTGTTCTTGATGATCATGGTGATTATTCGTGATCTCAAAAACGTTGGGGGGGGGGGGAGAAAAAATCCGCATCCCCACTCTAACATTGTACATGCAGGCCTCGCAGAACGTTTTGCATAGAGGGGGGGGGGGGGGGCTAAAGTATTTTATTAGGTAGAGCAAAGCGAGCATAGCAAGTGGAGCGTAAATTTGCGTGTGGTCCAGGGGCGTAGGCCCATGAAACTCGAGAGGGGTAGAGGTTACGGAAGTGACTATCCCCTAACAGGTTTTGGAAGTTTTGTTGTATTAACAAATTACATACTTTTATTAGCAAAGGAATAGTATAAAAACAAGCAATATACCTTTTTCACACTTCACTTTTCTAGAATATTTATACACTTCGAAGAATATTATGCGAGGGAGCGTAGCTCCAGAGCAAGAAGATTTTTGCATTTTTATTTGTCTAAACGCTGCACTCTAGGGCCCTCTAGAGCCTAAAAGTTTGTTGCAGTCTTTAGTCAGTATTTGCTATACACTTTTTTTCTATTTTTCAGGGGGGGGGGACGATCCTCCCCTTAACAAATTAAGGGGGGACGTGTCCTCCCGTCCCTCCCCCGGGGATCGCCGCCCCTGCATATCTAACACGTCGTACTTCTCTTATTTTAGAGTATGCCAGAGCCAAAATAAATTTCATAAGTAAACATATCTGTAATATTTTTTACCGGAGACGGAGGAATCTAATGTGATCATTTAAAATGCAACAAGTGAAGTATGGATATAATTATAAGGACCTATGTATTTTTCTAACCATGTACATGATATATATGCCTAGATTTACTTTTTCTTAATCTGATATCCTTTAACTAAATTCAAAACGCTGCCCCCCAAAAAAACGTTTCTGGAAAATTCGGGTTTTCTCAATCTATTCAACATCAACGGTTGAAAGCCCTCTCATGTTCAAGTATAGCATATAGCTATACATGCATACATGTAGTTCGTTTATTTTTTACGTTTAGGGTTTTCACATATTTGTTTAATGAATTACATTATGTTACATAAATATCTATGAGACATCTTGGTGAGGATTGTGGACCTGAATATAGGGTAAAGTGTCATAAACAGAAGCCAAAATATTGTTTCAATTTTTCACTTCGGGTATATGTCTGTCTGAGTTTTTCTCATATAGGGAGAAATGTTTGTATCAAAGCGGAACGAAGTAGTACCCAAATTTGGACAAATAGTTTTTCATTGTAATTTTACTCTAAAGAATCTATTCGACAAACATGTTTTTGAGCTTCTAAAGCACCCACGCTCCTCAGGTAACAATCATTGTTCATAACAAACTTTTTTCAGTGTAAAACGTGCCAGCGTTAAAGGGATAGTTGAGTTCTGTTTTCAGACCGCAAATGCCTTCAAAGTGCATGGTTATTGTCCTTATTCTTATCTATGACATTTCTAGTGCCCTTTTAGAACTTATAATTGATATGAAGGTAATTTTAGACCCCGAAATGTGTGAAATTTTGTCAATACGATCATGTCAATTCAGCTTCACTTTCAAAAAAATACGGTGACCGTTAGGTTATTATTTAATTAACAATAACAATACATGGGCCGGCTGGTTGTGCGTAATATAATCAACACGCAAATGCAAACAAATAAAGCCAACATAAGCATTGGCTGAAATACGACGTAAAAGGCGCTATTTCGTTTTTTCAACGGTTTTTTTAAAATATCTAATGTTTATGGTGGTACACAAGTTTTAGGAATCCTTATATTTATGGATATTTCAGCCGTCTCTGAACCGATTTTGATCAAACAAAGATGATTTTGTCATTTAAATTGTATGTTCCTTCAAATTTGACACTCAGTTTTTCATTATCTCACACACAAATATTTTGTGTAGCGCCCGCTGTAACAGAACTCAACTATCCCTTTAACATGATTACAAATGATTTCAATCAAGGTACACTTCTTTTCAGAGTGTTCCTTTCAAATGTGTTTTTCTTTCTTCTGTCACCCTTGTTAGAAGCCCAGGCGTATGCAATATCTTATTCACCTACGATACTGTGACATGATATAAAGAGTGTGCCAGTCCGTATCATGGTATGAGTAATGGGGATCGGACATAAATTTGTGTGGTTTCCAGAAAAAGTCACCCTTTTGTCTCTCTCTCTCTCTCTCTCTGTCTTTGTCTTCAATCATTCTTCAAAAAATAATTCTTTTTCATCATGATAACATTTTAATTCGATTCACTTTATACATGTACAATATTCAAATTACGATATTATTTTTTGCTGAATGGAATCAGTTATAATATGAAGCAAATTATAACCCTTTCTTTTACTACCCAAAAGCCCAAACAAAACACCGCCCCATACAAAAGTCTTGCAAAAGAACAAATACACGCACCACAACAATGCCATCCCATTTACCCACCACACTCACAACCGACATGGCTGGGGACAAAAATGACAAAGCTAAGACAAAGTAAGGCTAAAGGCCTACATTATGCTTCGATACTATTTTCTACATCGTTCAAATTTCATGAACGTTTTTTTTAAGCATTGTAGATCAATTATCGTTCAGTTTAAGTTCTTAATCTTTAAATAGTATACATTTCCTTAGATTTAGATAATAATAAATAGGCATATGTAGTACAATTATACTTAAACGAAACTCAAATGTAAAAAATCAAAACATAATAAAATAGTGAGTAGAAATCCAGAGCCTGTTTTATACTCTTAACCCCACCCCCATCTAATATCATGTTTACATTTGTAACGGAAGATTTGGAATTGTCGAGATTTGATAATGTGTAGTAGATTTAAATGATTGAAAGGTGGGACAAAGTACTCAGATGCAATGGCATTTGATATGTATTGAAATCTCCCTCCCCCATCGTCATTTAAAATAATTTCTTTTCTGTATATGAACAGACTAAGGTCTCCACTTGTTGAGTCGAATGCCCAGGCCACCTTATCACTTGATATTGTTTGCGTCATAATACCCATCAGGTCCGACTCACTGAGCGAGAGATATGTATTCTTTTGTTTGGTTTGTTAGCTGTAGTTATAGTATTTCCACTGGTTTCGTTTTAGGACCCCATGATTCAAATGACTTGCATCAGGCTACGACTTCTAGTGTCACGTCACCAGACGGTGAAATACAGACCCACGTACGCAGCTAATGCCTTTCATTGCCAGGTAAAAAAAGTCAGAGGTAAAAATGTCAGAGTTAATGTCAGAGGTAAAAATGTCAGAAGTAAAAATGTTAGAGGTAAAAATGTCAGAGGTAAACATGTGAGAGGTATAAATATAAAAACTCTTTTTTAGTTGCCCCTCGATATGCTTTATTTGTTGTGAGAGATCAAACTTTGAAATTGACAAATGTATGATCAACATATCAGAGGCATTGTTTTACTGTATAAATTTATAGCATCATATGACTGCTTGAATACATGATAATATTTATTGCAAGATGTTTGGTACAGGATTTATTAAAAGGTGTTCTGGTATATCATGTATACAGTTTTCAGCAGGTATATATTCGTACAAGTGTACACGTTAAACAAAATGCATCGTGAATTTGGAAAGAAAAATATCAAGTTGAATTTGAGGGTCGACTGAAACTATAATTCTCTCAGGTTATGTGTTATGTTAAACCCAACAAATACAATAATTTCTGCCTTTCGAAACGTACTGCATAAAATTTTGAAAGCACATTATCTGGCTAGATAATGTCTCAACGTTTACTACTTGTAGGCCTACTATCTGACATTCCCACTCGATAAACACAAACACTCATGCAACTGCTTTGCTGAATGAAACATTACGAAACGCTTCTTCAATACTGAAAGCATATTAATATAGTCGCTGTTAGATCGCTACTTCGTAACGTAGGTGCTTAAGAAGAAGCGTAAAGTAATTTCATAATGTTGTACCGGGTAGGCCCTATTAATCATGGAATGCATTATGTTTAAAAAATTTTAAGTGCAATAATAGCCAGCTAAGTATTTACAACATATTTTACACTTTTGATTGAGTTGGCCGATTAATTCACAATTTTGTTTTTTCTTCCTCAGGTCGTGTGCTTGAGTTGTCAATGATGGCTACTTCCTTAAAACATGAGGCTTTCCATAAGAATCTCGAGTGTCCTATCTGCCTGAGCCTCTTCAAGGAACCCAAGAACCTGACCTGCTCCCATACCTTCTGCAAGGGTTGTCTTGAGACTCTCCTGGAGTCTCGTGGAAAGCTGATGTGTCCTACGTGCAGGGAGGAGACTTCGGTTCCTGGTGGAGACGCGGGTAGACTGCAATCAAACATAACAGTCAGATCACTTGTTGAAGATGTGGAGACCCAGGGCAAGGTCTGTACCAACAGTAATCAAGAAAACGAATCATTGCAAGGAAAATGGAACAAATGTGGAAAACATCCGAACTACGATGAAGATTTTTTTTGTCTCAACTGTCAAAAGTATGTCTGCAGCATGTGTGGCATGTTAGAGCATGAAAAGGATGCTCATACTATCATCGAAGCAGGTGAACATGAAACTGAGCAAAAGAATCACGTCGAGAAACTTGCATCTAAAGTGGATGCAAAGATACGCAACGTTGACAAGTATTCTACTTTCGTTGGAGACCAGCGTAAAAGGGTGCACAACATACAGGACCAACTCAATGGCGAAATAGATGCGACTTTTGTGGAATTAGTTGAGAAATTGAAGCAAAGAAGGACGGTGTTGAAAAAAGAAGTTGGGTACAACCTAGGGAAACTTAAGACTTCATTAGGAGACGTGGAGAAGCTGATTCGTATACAGATAGACGAGATTAAGAAGGTTCTGTACTTGGTTAAGGATGGTCTTAATTTTTCTCTCCAGACAGAGGCTCTGACCGCACATAAAGCAATGTGTCAACAGCTGGAAGAGCTTCTAAACCAGATTAAGCCAGATGAGGAGCTGCCAAAAAGAACTGCTGAGGAAGGTGAAAGAATTGGCTTCAGGAGTCAGGGATCGGTTGGACTCCAGTTGGGCCAGCTAAGACAAAATAATTCTAAATCATGGGTTCTGCGCACGGAAGCTCCCCTGCCTGATGGGAAAAACATGACCGGGATGGTAATATCACCAACGAATGAAATGGCTGTTGGTTGTGGCGAGGGAGGAATAGTCATATATTCTTCTGAGGGCATCATACAAGATACCGTTCTGAAAGCTGTTAAAGTTAGTGCCTTACACTTCATGCCTGATGGTGGATACGTCATACGCGACACTGATAACAGAATTTCCTTGTACACAGAGATTTGTGAAAAGCTTGATGTAACGTTTGAGACAATAGAAGGCGAATATGGCGGTCTCACTGTAGGCAAGGGTGGGATCATCTGCATAGGTAACAGTGTAAGCAAGAGCATACAGGTATTTAAGCCAGAAGGGGGGAAGGCAATAAGAGAGATAACGTGTAAGGGATTTGTACCATGGCAGATAGTTGCGATGACATCCAGTCAAGCGATTCTCATTACTAATGTGTTAGACAATGACGTACACGTGATCAACAATGTGTCTGGTGCTATCATTCAAAGATTCAGCAAAGATGATTATATCCCTTACCCTGCTGTGTGTCAGGATGATTCATTTATCATTGCATGGGTTAAGCACTATTTGGGTCTGCTGAGCATCGACCAGTACACAAAAGAACTCAAATACATCAAAAACATTCTTACTGATTTCAAGATAGCGAATTCACGTGATGGCTGTTTGCAAGCGTTCGAGACGGGTGATATTGCTTTTTGCACTAATGATAGGTTTTACATCTTCCATGAGACATGGCAGTAAGTTTCAGTTTAGCAGATGAAACGCGGAGTTGAAAAACTTACAAAACCCAACCATTTTAGATCGTATTTGGTCAAATGGAATACATGTAGCATATAGATATTATCTACTCTTGCCTGGTCTCCGTTGTCACGGCTCATAATAGTCACCAACATACACCAGATAAAAACACATATTGAACACCTCGTTGTCTTAATAGAGGATATTTGGGCACCTGCTGCCCGAATTATTATTACGAGATGATGTTTCATCGAATGTCGAAACTTATAAACTGCCAGATGCAGTCCTTTCAGTGCCCATGTCTTGCAAGCCTGTGCCGAAATGTGATTTTAATCAAATAGTTAGTTTAGATTCCGCTCTTGTATAATGCTATCATAATGTTGACTAATTTCATTATGCCGTCGACAGTAGACTATGTAACGTTTACGCTAATGAATTATCTAGGCGTTGCGCTCTTTATTGCAAATTGCATTTATTTTAAAGACAGATGTAGGTAGATAATCAAAACCAAAGACGAGGGGATGGGGTAGGACACATTTTCTAATCGACTGAAAGCATACATTGCAAATATAATACACCGTCATGCATATTCCCGCTATTACTGGGGATGAACGGCTGCCTTCTTCCAATGATATTTGTAATACTGAAAAGATTCTCTAAGTGTTCATGGTAGTGGCAACGTAAGCAAATTATTGTTCTCAAAATATTACAATGTATCCGAAAACGTTTGTTAAAAATATGCAAGGTATTATATATAGATATGCAATTTGCCCAAGTTTGTTTATTCAATTCATGTATTTGTTGTCATGGTGAAGGCATAATTCTCTTTATGTTTCTTTGTTTTGTACAATTTAGGACATAATTTATTTGTATACAATTATTCATAGTTGTTAACGTGATCTTTGCGTATTTATTTTTATTTTTAGGGGCCTTAATCTGTATAATCCCTCATTCCCTTACCTTCCTCTAGGGGGGGGGGGGGGGTGGAGAAGTATGCTATTTTAGGCTATAGCCCAACGATGTGAAAATAACACAACTATATTGTCAATTTCATGTTCGATTTTAATTATATTTAATATTTAATGATCAATTATTTAATGTTATATTTATTTGTTCTATGTACTTTATGGTGTTAGACTTATAATTCTGGTGTATATGAATAAACTATTTAGCTATTATTTGTCGCATATGTATGGCATGTATGTACGAGATCCATTGAAGTTTTTAAGAATTCCTGGTTATATTTTATTTGTCCATGGTTTACATTTGAAACCTAATACAAGTGACTACACAGTTAAAATTTTTGTGAACAAGTTGTTTAAAAGTTTAAACAACTCTTGATTAACGGGTGACCTGATCTAAGAGTTGTTTAAAATGTTAAGCAACTCGAGTTGTTTAAAGTTTAAACACTTAGTTGATCAACATTTTGAACAACTTGTTTAAAATCACAATTTAAACAACCGGTGTTGTTTAAAGACGGTTGTTTAAAACGGAGCTGTTGTTCAGTGGAGGTTGTTTACACCAACTGGGTTGTTTAAAGAAAGTTGTTTAAAAAGGAGCTGTTGTTCAGTGGGGTTGTTTACACCAACTGGGTTGTTTAAAGAAAGTTGTTTAAAAAGTAGCTGTTGTTCAGTGGGGGTTGTTTACACCAACTGGGTTGCTTAAAGAAAGTTGTTTAAAATGGAGCTGTTGTTCAGTTGGGGTTGTTTAAACCAACTGGGTTGTTTAAAGAAAGTTGTTTAAAAAGGAGCTGTTGTTCAGTGGGGGTTGTTTACAACAAAAGGGTTGTATAATGGGGTATAATTTGGGTTTGATACTCTGAATAAGTGCACACTACTTCTGGGTCTCTATATAGGTATATGAAGACTAGGGTAATTCTGCAATTCATGAATTAGCGCCAAAACAGTGCCCATTTTGCATGAGCGCGCATGCACGCACGTATAAACTGCATATATAGGGATGCATGCAATCTCTATGGCAAGGAATTTAGCACACGTTATAACCGAGTGCGCGATCAGTGCCGCACAGCATGACGCGACGATTTTAATATATTCTGACATTTGCGTACAGATACCGAAAATTTTAACTGAACTTACGCTATAAGTTAAAAACTTCAAATTGGTTAATAGAAAAGTGATTTCAATTAAGCCATTGAATCCCCAGTCACTTAGAAGCGTGTCGGTAGCTTGGTCGGCCATGATGTGTGTTGTGTTGTGGGTTGGAAAGCAGTTAATAACTATTAAGCTAAATAAATGTAAGTATAGAGACAAACAAAATGGAGCCTGCAGAAACACGTGTGGTTGCTTTGGTAGTTTAATCCAGACTCAATGTCCATGTGCTTTTACATATGTATCAATCTGTGTAGTCAACAGAAGACCCTTGCATACACTTGCATTGTGTGTATGCATCTAATATGAATAACAATGAGCTGTGCCTTAACAGCTGCACTGCATTCCTAAGTGGCATGTCAATTTCAATTGCATGTTAGTTTCAAGGAACCTGTTTTTAAACATAACAATGTGCAATAAAGCCTTTAGCCAACACGCACTTTACTGGCACGAGACACATGACGTCATATGTAAACAACACTGTCTAAAAGCTCTCGTATAGTAAATATAGCAGTCATTAAATTTTAAACAACGAATGTTTAACAAAATTACTTCTGTTTCGAGCAACATTGTTTACAATTTGATCAACTGTTGTTTAAGATAGTGTACAACTGTAAGTGAACATCACTTTTTAAACAGCGTTTTTACTGTGTAGATGATTAGCTTTTAATTACCGGTATTGGATATATATATATATATATCGATACCAAAACATTTAGCAATACCTGTAACATGTCCGTTGCAAGGTAAACAGAGTATTGATAGTGAAATAAAAAATATGAATACCGATGATTTAGTTTGAAACTATAGATCATATTTTAGATCGTTACACTATACCGATAGCAAGGAACTCTCGACGTCTAAAAGGGAGGGTGAATTTAAGAATTCCTTGTTATATTTGAATTGGAAAGGAAATCAGTGTGTTATATACCTTAATAAGTTCTACTACATGTAGTTTATCTTGTTATTCTGATATGCATTCAAGTTAATTTCCGCCTTCCTCACTAGGTTTATGATTCTTTCATAGTCGATTAAATAACTGTACTTTATCATCTTTGTAACAGTATAGAGAAATCCCTGCATTGTTGTGCTATAAAAGCATAATGATTATTATGATGAAATTATGTCAGTAATCATGTTCCATTCAAATTTTGTTACAAATTTCATGTTCAATTCAATCATATGTTCTTAAAGGGAATAGAAGGGAATAAATTTCAAGTATGAATTTGGTCACTGATATTTCCAGAAAATAGTCCTTTGTCCGGTGTCATTGGTGAAAACAAAAGAAATTCAAAGAAAGAGTAAAAGACTGAGTCATCAAAAGTATTGATTTTATAAAAATACATGCAGGAGGTATGTGAAAGCTTATGTACATGATATTCGTATAATAATAGCAGCGGTTATGACGGAAAGCGTAAAGGTCGGCAATCAAGAAGAAAAAAACAAACTATAATACTACTTTACATGAAAAAGATGTTCCATCGACAACAGTGTGAATACAAACTATCCTTACTCCAGCGAGTGACGTCAAACTGTTTCAGCATCCGACTCATTTTCGAGTTTTCATCAAATACTGAGGTTCTTTTAGTTTTGAACACCGAAACGGTTTAAATCAGTGTTTTTCTTTGAAATGACCTCTTGTCGCTAGCGGGGGGGGGGGGGGGGTGCACCCTTAGTTACGGGCCTGCATAGTGACTAAAAATGATGTCAATCATTCTAAAATGTCTGGGATAACTACCCCACCCCACCACGCCCCACCGCCCAGAAGGCTAGCTGCTTCATTCAGTTATGGGTTGTACCCCTTGAATTCACTGAACCATATCGACTCTCATGATCATAACAACATTTACAAGGCAACTACCGGTAGATTAGATTATTCGAAATGGGAAACTACTGACATAGCGCCTTGCTTATGACATGACGGTTATCCGATTTTCCCTTCAAAAGTATCGAGGGGCTGCAGCATTCTAGCCCCTGCCTCAAATACTCTTGATGGAGAATGAGAGAAAAAATAAGGATGAAAACAAAAGAAAAATAATTGTTTTCCAAGAGTGTTATTATTACATATTATGGCAAGATTAATCATCATCTATAAGTTTCAAATGAAAGAGGGCGCAAGATATATAAAGAAGAAAACAAAATCAATCTTCGTTAATTTAGCGCATAGGCAATCGAAACTCGGGCAAAAGACACTTGTTCGACGACGACCCGGCGAAATTACTTTGAGTATATCATGATTTTCAGAGAAATTTCCTGAGAACTGAAAGTTACTTTAATTTGTCCAACTGGAAATGGTTTCTAGAATATGCATGGCCATGTCCAGGAAGGGAGGGGGGGGGGGGGGGGGGGGGGGTATATCAAAATAAATTTCCGGACCTACTTTTTTTTGTTGGGGGGGGGGGGGGGAGGGGCTAATGCCGATATTCTCCAGACTAGCTATTGGGTGCACACAGAGCAAACAGAAAGTAGGAGTTATCTGAAAAAATAGCTAACACAATGCATTCACACTCCTGCATCACAAGTTTCAATTTCAGTTTGATTTATTGATCATGCACAATGCAAAAGCTCAATTGGCATAAAAACAATTATCTGGCTGTTTCTTTAAAAAAAAATTCAAATAGGCATTATATTAATAAAGACTCGCAAAAGAGAATATTAAATTACAAATACATACATATTGTATAAGACATACCTTTCAATGAGTTAACATAACAATACATGTGCATAACAAAGTAAGCAGGAAATAGATAAACACACCACAGTTCGAGACAACAAAGCCCAGTAGAATACATAACACGGACAGATAAACCAGAAAACATATAGCAGATAGTTAGAAATAGAGAGAAACAGAAGTAATAGGAGCGGAGATAAAAGAAAACAGAACAAAGTAAGTTGTAGTAAGAATGAGAGAAATTAAGTCGAAGGGAGCAAGAACTGAACAGAGTTGAGGTAAGGGTTAAAATATGATGGGGGAGAGGTGGTAGAGAGGAGAAACAAGCATAGTATTTCCCTTAAAAAGTATCGAGGGGCTGCAGCCTTCTAGCCCCTGTCTCAAATAATCTTGATGGAGAATGAGAGAAAAAATAAGGATGAAAACAAAAGAAAAAGAATTGTTTTCCCAGAGTGTTATTATTACATATTATGGCAAGATTGATCATCATCTATCAGTTTCAAATGAAAGAGGGCGCAATACATATAAAGAAAAAACAAAATCAATCTTCGTTAATTTAGCGCATACGCAATCGAAACTCGGGCAGAAGACACTTGTTCGACGACGACCCGGCGAAATTACTTTGAGTAGGCATATATCATGATTTTCAGAGAAATTTCCTGAGAACTGAAATTTACTTTAATTTGTCAAACTGGACATGGTTTCTAGAATATGCATGGCCATCTCTTCCAATTCCAGAGTCTCTAAGTCCAGGAAGGCAGAAGGGGGTGTATCAAAATAACTTTCCTGACCTATTTCTTGTCTTCTTTTTTCTTTATTTTTTTTTTTTTTGGGGGGGGGAGGGGGTACCGCCGATAAACTCAAAACTATTTGATGCACACAGAGCAAAAAGAGAAAAGAAGTTATCTGAACAATAGCTAACACAATGCATTCACACTCCTCGATCATCAGTTTTAATTTCAGTTTGATGTATTGGTCATGCACAATACAAAAGCTCAATTGGCATAAAAACAATTCTCTGGCTGTTT